TAGTATAATCCCCAATCAAGTAGAGCTAGTCCACCTCTTTCTTTCTTATCTATAAGAAGTGTTCTATTGATTCATGGGGTTTTTTGCATGCCAAATAAATTTTCTAGTGCAGTGATCCATGTCTTCAAGGAATTTAGTATTTTTAGTATGGGTATACATTGTGCTATGAAGAGAAATCGTGGGAGGATATTCATTATTATGGTAGCAATTCTTCCCACAAAGGAAATATGTAAATCGTGCCATTTTTAGGTCTTTTTTATTTCTTCTAATAAAGCTAGGTAGTTATTTTTATATAGATTATTATTATTATTTGTTACTAATACACCTAAATATTTAGTTTTATTTACCACTTGAATGTTTGAAATTGTTTGCATTTTAATTATCTCTTCTTTAGAACAATTTTTCGTCAAGATCTTAGTTTTATTCAAATTAATCGTTAAGCCTGCCACTTGACTATAGTTTTGTATTTCATTCAGCAGGTATGGCATGGATGTTATCGGATCTTCAAGAATAAACACCAAATTATCAGCAAATGCCTGCAATTTATCGTGTTCCCATTTTATTTTTGTACCAATTATTCTCTTATTTTCTCCCACTAATTCATTTAGCATATCTATCCTGAAAATCAAAAGTAGAGGGGATAATGGGCATCCCTGTCTAGTTCCTTTTTGTATAGCTATATTTTGAGTTAATTCTCCATTTATAACTATATTTGCATATTGTTCTTTATATATAGCTAAAATTGATTTTAGAAATTTTACGCCGCAATCCCATATATCTAGTTTTTGTATTAAGTAATCCCAATTTACATTATCTAAGGCTTTCTCCGCATCTAGGAAAACTAGTGCTATTTGTTTCCCTGGATTCTGTTCATAATATTCTAACATATTGACTATAATTCTTATATTATTTTTAATTTGTCTTTTTGGGAGAAAGCCTGATTGATCTCTATGAATAATTTCTGCCATAATCCTTTTAAACCTGTTAGCTAAGATTGTTGCAAAGATCTTATAGTCTATGTTCAAAAGTGAAATAGGTCTATAGTTTTTGATTTCATCTCCATCTGAATCTGGTTTCCGTATTAAGGTTATTAGGGCTTCATTCCATGAATTCGGTGCTTTTCCTCTTATCATGATATTATTAATCAGATCTTTAAACATAAATGATATTTCATCTTCTATGGTTTTATAAACTTCAGCTGTTATTGCGTCTGGACCTGGTGATTTCTTTATTTTTTGCTTTCTAATTGCCTCCACTAGTTCGCACATTGAAACTTTTTCATTCAAAATTTTTCTCTGTTCATCTGTAAATTTACCTTTGTTATGTTTAAATAAAAAAATCTTTAAGCTCTTGTTTATTTTGTGGTGTTTGTTTATATAAATTTCTGTAGAAATTTTCTACTATATTTTTTAATTCTTGTGTTTTATATTTTATTTCTTGATTTTCATTTTTTAACAATGGAATAATTCTTTTTTCCCTTTCTTTTCTAAGTTTATAAGCCAACCATCATGAGGGTTTATTCGCATTATCAAAATGTGTATAGCTTTAGTGTATTCAATTTTGTTTGCTATTTCTTGTGTCATCCACAAATTAATTCGGTGCTGGATTAGTTTGATCCTTGTTCTTATTTCATTTGCGTCTCCTTTATTCTTACTAATATCTTCTACTCTTTTAAGTTCTTTTGTTAATTATTTTAAATTATCCGTTTTTTCCTCCAAGCTTCTTGGTTTATGAATAATTCCCTTATATAGGCTTTTAGTGTGTCCCAAATGGTGTTCAGTGTTACATCCTCACTTTTGTTTATTTTAATAAATTTTTATTTTTTGGTTAATTTTTTTAACAAAATTTTGGTCCCTCAGTAACCCTGAATTCATTCTCCACCTTGCGATTTTATATGTTCCTTGTAAAGAGAACCATACAGGGTTATGGTCCACAAAGGTGTTTGGCAAAATTTCAACTTCTAAAACATTTTTATCACATTCGTATTTATCCATATCATGTCAATTCTGGACCATGATTTATGTCTATGAGAAAAATAGGTATAGTCTTTTTTTTTGTGGATTTCTTGTTCTCCATAAATCTATAAGGTTAAATTCTTCTGCTAGGTTTAAGAAATTTTTAGATAATATTGTTCCTGCTTTTAAAATGTTTTTTTTTTAATTTTCCTTCTATCTTCCTTAGCATCCAAAACCATGTTGAAATCTACTACCAGACATAAATTTTCTGAATCTTCCCTTAAAATAAAGTTTTTTAAAAAATGAAAAGAATTTCTCTTGATTTTGATTTGGGGAGAACTGGATAGTTTAGTGGGGTGCTTGAATTGGCCCTGTTGGGGTTGGCACTGGCAGTGTCAAAAAGACAATCAACCCTGATTATCTATGGGAAGTAACAAGAGATAACAATGAAAGTAACAGTGGGCTGAGGGGAGGGTTGCTGAATATCAGAAAAAGGTGAGAGGGGACATGATGCTGATTACAAATGTACCTGTGAACAGTGATGTCTAAGATTAGGTACTGAAAGCTATCTTGAAAACCACTTCCCAACCTTTATTTAATAAGATGATACATGAACTAGAAGCTACTTCCTGTATCACTTTTAGAAATACACCTCTGGACAAGATGCATGGAAATATAACATGCATTTGACACCCAAATAACTTCTACAGTTATATATGTGAGTTTTTTCAGAAAGGGATGCATAAGCTTCTATTCCCTTGAGATCCTCCAGAAATTACCTTGTCTTGTTTTCTAAAATGGAACTATAGTTATTAGGGAACCTCCACCATGTGCTGCTTTCTGCCACTTCCATTTCCTTTATTTCACATGCATTTCTCTCACTCCTCTGTGTAACTGATGTATACATATGCAGAGATAAAACACTACAAAAAAGCAATTCCAACATAAACATATGTTCAGTTGTGTAAATGGTCTTTTGTGTAGTGTTTTAACAATGCAAGGAACATGATATAATGATACATATGATCCCACCAATGTTGCTATTCTGCAGTGTTTTACACATTTGTGTGCTGATAATGCTGGAAGGGAAATATGCATATGAACAGAAGAAACTGCGATTTGTGGCAAATTCTACATGATCCAATTCAAAAATTAATTTTACACATTCTCATATTTATACCTGAATTGGGGAGGAGAGGAACACACTCCTAAAAGAATGATAATAGAAAGGAAAGGGGAATATCTGCTCATTTAAACTGTTTCCATATTACATTTCTTCCCATACGCCTAAAGCAATGAGAGATAACACAGAGAACCCCTGATCCTGCCCCACTTAAATTGTTTATTGTGGCTATG